CTGTAAAGCCATCTGGTCCTGGACTTTCGTTTGTTGGAAGATTTTAAATCACAGTTTCAATTTCATTACTTGCGATTGGTCTGTTCATATTTTCTATTTCTTCCTGGTTCAGTCTTGGAAGGTTATACCTTTCTAAGAATTTTTCCATTTCTTCCAGGTTGTCTGTTTTATTGGCATAATGCTGCTTGTAGTAATCTCTTATGATGCTTTGTATTTCTGCGGTGTCTGTTATAACTTCTCCTTTTTCATTTCTAATTTTATTGATTTGAGTCCTCTCCCTCTTGATGAGTCTGACTAATGGTTTATCAATTTTGTTTATCTTCTCAAAGAACCAGCTTTTAGTTTTATTGATCTTTGCTATTGTTTTCTTTGTTTCTATTTCATTTATTTCTGCTCTGGTCTTTATGATTTCTTTCCTTCTGCTAACTTTGCATTTTGTTTGTTCTTCTTTCTCTAGCTCCTTTAGGTGTAATGTTAGATTGTTTATTTGAGATTTTTCTTGTTTCTTGGGGTAGGCTTGTATAGCTATAAACTTCCCTCTTAGAACTGCTTTTGCTGCATCCCATAGGTTTTGGATTGTCGTTATTTTCTTTTTTTTTTTTTTTTGTGGTACGTGGGCCTCTCACTGTTGTGTCCTCTCCCGTTGCGGAGCACAGGCTCCGGATGTGCAGGCTCAGTGGCCGTGGCTCACGGACCCAGCTGCTCCGCGGCATGTGGGATCTTCCTGGACCGGGGCACGAACCCGTGTCCCCTGCATCAGCAGGCTGACTCTCAACCACTGCGCCACCAGGGAAGCCCGGATTGTCGTGTTTTGATTGTCATTTGTCTCTAGGTATTTTTTGATTTCCTCTTTGATTTCTCCAGTGATCTCTTGGTTATTTAATAACGTACTGTTTAGCCTCCATGTGTTTGTGTTTTTTACGTTTTTTTCCCTGTAATTGATTTCTAATCTCATAGCGTTGTGGTCAGAAAAGACGCTTGATATGATTTCAATTTTCCTAAATTTACTGAGGCTTGATTTGTGACCCACGACGTGATCTATCCTGGAGAATGTTCCGTGCGCACTTGAGAAGAAAGTGTAATCTGCTGGTTTTGGATGGAATGTCCTATAAATATCAATTAAATCTATCTAGTGTATTGTGTCATTTAAAGCTTGTGTTTCCTTATTTATTTTCATTTCGGATGATCTGTCCATTGGTGTAAGTGAGGTTAAAGTCCCCCACTGTTATTGTGTTACTGTCGATTTCCTCTTTTATAGCTGTTAGCAGTTGCCTTATGTATTGAGGTGCACCTGTGTCGGGTGCATACATATTTATAATTGTTATATCTTCTTCTTGGATTGATCCCTTGATCATTACATAGTGTCCTTCCTTGTCTCTTGTAACATTCTTTATTTTAAAGTTTATTTTATCTGATATGAGTATTGCTACTCCAGCTTTCTTTTGATTTCACATGACATTTGCATGGAATATCTTTTTCCATCCCCGTACTTTCAGTCTGTATGTGTCCCTAGGTCTGAAGTGGGTCTCTTGTAGACAGCATATATTTGGGTCTTGTTTTTGTATCCATTCAGCAAGCCTGTGTCTTTTGGTTGGAGCATTTAATCCATTCACGTTTAAGGTAAGTATCAATATGTATGTTCCTATGACCATTTTCTTAATTGTTTTCGGTTTGTTTTTGTAGGTCCTTTTCTTCTCTTGTGTTTCCCACTTAGAGAAGTTCCTTTAGCATTTGTTGTAGAGCTGGTTTGGTGGTGCTGAATTCTCTTAGCTTTTGCTTGTCTGTAAAGCTTTTGATTTCTTCATCGAATCTGAATGAGATCCTTGCTGGGTAGAGTAATCTTTGTTGTAGGTTCTTCCTTTTCATCACTTCAAGTATATCATGCCACTCCTTTCTGGCTTGTAGAGTTTCTGCTGAGAAATCAGCTGTTAACCTTATGGGCATTCCCTTGTATGTTATTTGTCGTTTTTCCCTTGCTACTCTCAGTAATTTTTCTTTGTCTTTAATTTTTGCCAATTTGATTACTATGTGTCTTGGCGTGTTTCTTCTTGGGTTTATCCTGTATGGGACTCTCTGCACTTCCTGCACTTGGGTGGCTATTTTCTTTCCCATGTTAGGGAAGTTTTTGACTATAACCTCTTCAAATATTTTCTCGGGTCCTTTCTCTCTTCTCCTTCTGGGACCCCTATAATGTGAATGTTGTTGCATTTAATGTTGTCCCAGAGGTCTCTTAGGCTGTCTTCATTTCTTTTCATTCTTTTTTCTTTATTCTGTTCCCCAGCAGTGAATTCCACCATTCTGTCTTCCAGGTCACTTATCCGTTCTTCTGCCTCAGTTATTCTGCTATTGATTCCTTCTAGTGTAGTTTTCATTTCAGTTATTGTATTGTTTATCTCTGTTTGTTTGTTCTTTAATTCTTCTAGGTCTTTGTGTTAAACATTTCTTGCATCTTTCTCGACCTTTGCCTCCGTTCTTTTTCCGAGGTCCTGGATCATCTTCACTATCATTATTCTGAATTCTTTTTCTGGAAGATTGCCTATCTCCATTTCATTTAGTTGTTTTTCTGGGGTTTTATCTTGTTCATTTATCTGGTACATAGCCCTCTGCTTTTTCATCTTGTCTGTCTTTCTCTCCTTCTGTTTTCTTATTCATATCTGCTAGACATAAAAAATGTTTGTTTCACTGAAGAGCACTGTAGCCATATTCCTCCTCTACCTGAGCTCCTCTGGTAATGTTCTGCCATTCGAGCCATGCTTTTCATTTACAGAGGATTAAAGATGCGAATGATGGATGAAACCTAGCAGGTCTCATGCAGTTTCCCTGCTTTGCGTGGTTTCTAGTGCCCCAGTTCCATCACGTTTCACTTTGTCTTCCTTTAATTGTCTTTGCCTGGAAGCATCAGCAGTTACTCCTGAGTGCTGTTGAGTGGTTTGACCTGAAGAGAAGCAGCAGTTGATGGGGACAGTTTGGCATCTGGAGGCTAGCTTGTCTCATTCTGGGTTAGGCAGAACTGGTCTCTTGATCTTTCAGGTCTGTCACAACTCCTTCCAGTTTCTGAGATGAGCTTATTCCGGCATTCACAGCTCCTGTGGACTGCCACTAATCCAGTTGCAATGAACTCATAGCAAGCACCATTTTTTTCTCAGTTCTTAGGAAAGGAGCGGTTATGTACTCCTGACCTCCTAATCTAGGTTATATAACCGGAAGCATTCTGGGTGGGTAGTGGGGAGATAGGGACCCAGCATTTGCAAAAGTTTTGGCGACAGAGCATAGAATGTGTTCAGGAAAGGAGAAGTTCAGTGTGGCTGAAGTGCAGAGGCCTGGTGGGCAGGGGGAGAAATGAAGCTGGACAGCCAGGCTGGGAATAGCCCGAGGGGCCCCGAAGCCTCCTTGAGAAGGCTGGAGTTTATTTTAAGGGTAGTGGGAAGCCACTGACAAGTTTTAAGTAGGGAGTGACACGATCTGATTTGTATTTTATTAGAAGTTCTGTAGTTACAGTGAACAGATTGTAGTGTTTTAGTGAAAATGCTCTGGTTTCAGGGCTAGAGGGAGACTGACCCAGGTTAATGGTGACTTGGATTTGGGTAACAGCAGAGAGGATGGAGGGTAGTGGACAAATCTGAGAGATGTGATGACTGGATAGAGGGAGAGAGGAAGAAGATGCTCGAAAAAGGTGTGTTTTGTTCGCTCCCGGTCTCAGTATGAGATCTGGCAGCAGGTCTCAGTTCTTCCATTTATGAGGCGACCGCCCTGTGTTCGCCGCCTCCCTACCTCAGAGGTTATGTTCAGATTCAAGAGCAAATACCTTTGAAGCCCTTTGAGAGGCTTGAGACCTGAGAGCAGTTAGGTCAGGCTTTTGAATTTAGCTTATGGTAGATAGTAACATTTGGCAGAAAGGATTCTTTATGCTTCTGATGCCTGCTGGTATAACTCAGCCTCTGCTGTGCCTTTGGCCGGCGTGAGCAGGCTGATAAAAATGCTGGGAGGAGAATAATGCCTGTGGCTCACTGGAAAGCCCCAGTACACTTGGCTTAGTGTTATGTCCATACTGAACAATACGGAAGCTGGACCCTTCTCTCTCCTCCCTTTTATATTCCTTAGGAGCCCTTAGGAAAAGGATCTGTAAACAGAATTAGAACAAACTGGTTTTGTCTTCAACATAAAACAGAGCTGAGATGTCGGATGTTTGAAAAGACCCTGGAAGGGAAGAAAAGACAGTTTGTAGACGTGTTCCATAATAGAGGGATCAGCTGAAATAAAAGGTGTCCTGAGAAGAATTAGGGCTGGCAGAATGGAATGGCAAGAATTATTCCAAATCATGTAGGATAACATGGGGGGGAAAAGAAAAAGACATGTTCTTTCTTTTCCCTTTAAAGAGTGTGTGTGTGTGTGTGTGTACTGGTGGGATGCTTGAAATCAAAACCCTTTTCTTGCTCTAGAAGCCTAAGGAATGGATCTGAGTGGGCTCATACCTTTCAGTCCCTCTTGCCTGGTCTAAGCAGCCAGTGTGGTCTGGCGGCCTGCTTTGGAGTTGTGTCTGTTTGGAAAAGATACAGTTAACCTTTAACTTGTCCATGCCGTAAACAGACAAGTCCTGGACCTAAAAACAGTACTGACAACTGAATGAGCATGTCAGAAATACCTGAATGACAGCATGGAGTTTTGGGAGCTGTTGTAGGTCTTTGAAAGAAGAGCTGAATTCACTGTCGACAGGAATTGTTATGGCTGTTATTTCATCTGGTGTAGATTTGACCATGTGGAGGTAGGGAGAATAGAATGTCATGTTCTTTCACTGAGGCTGTGCCATGAGCAACTCTATTGAAATAGAATGTCAGAGCTCCTGGTTGGAGACCCAGGAGGACTGACCATGGGCTTGGAGTGAGGCCAGGCAGTGATTACAGCCTACGAGGCAGAGAGCAGTCCGTCCAAAAAGTTCAGTGAGCCTTGTTCAAGCTCCTCCTTAAAGCTTAACACTTCCCCCTCTATTTCTGTCCTTCCAGAAGTGCATACTGTGCCGCGTCAGTAGCTTCTCTGACCAACATCATCACTCCAGCCCTGTTTGAGGGCACTGCTGAATGGATCGCAAGGTGAGAGAAGCTGGGATTTGTCCTGCCTCTTAGACAGCAGGCGGTCAAGACTTCTGAAAAATAAAGTGCAGAAGGACCAGAGAAGGGAATATAAAATTACAAGAGATGTCTGGGTTGAAGGATTGTGCATTTCAAAAATACTTTAAAAGTTTTCTTTTTTTCCAAACTTTCTTTAATGTGATTGGCAAGGATCAAAACCTTGCATAAACAGTATTGGTCAGAGTCTAAATGGAGTTCAACCAGTTTGGAGAGCAATTTGGAAATATCTCAAAGATACCCTTGCTGATGACCCCAAAATTCCACTTCTCCAGAAACTCACACCCCATGCATGAGAGAGACAAACATAGGACTTGTTTATAATAGTAAAACGCTGGAAACAGATTAAATGTTCACAAGCACAAGATGGATAAGTGAGTTGTGGTGTAGTCATATTGAAATATAATATAGCAATTAAAATGAATGAACTAGAGCTACACGTATCAATACGGGTGAATCTCAAAAACACTGTTGAGGAAAAAAAAGGATGTTAAAGAAAACATGCAGATCACATTTGCTTAAAATTTGAAAACATGCAAAACAATTCTATACTGTTTATGGGAAGAATCACATGTAGTAATATAAAAACATGCTGGGAAGGATAAACACCAAATTCAGGATGGTGCTTACTTCGGGGGAGAAAGTAAAGAAAATGAGATTAAGGGAGGTCTGTACTTCTACTCAGGAGACTTCAGTTGTATCTGTAATTGTTTGTTTAAAATAAAAAAACCTGAAATGCATATGGCTAAATCAAAGCTAGGTGTTAGGTACATGTATGTTCTATAAATTATTTGCTATACTTTTGTGGATCCTTCAAATTATTTCATAATTTTAAGAAAAGGTATAGTAGATTTATATATATTATTGAGGAATTGTATCCAAGCTGTATTTTATTTTTTTACATTTTAATTTTTATCAAAGCAGTACTTACTACTATGAAAATACAATTTTCAGCTAAACCAAATGAGATACTATGATCATATTTACTTTTTTTTTTTTTTTTGGCGGTATGTGGGCCTCTCACTGTTGTGGCCTCTCCCGTTGAGGAGCACAGGCTCCGGACGCGCAGGCTCAGCGGCCATGGCTCACGGGCCCAGTCGCTCCGCGGCATGTGGGATCTTCCCGGACCAGGGCACGAATCCGTGTCCCCTGCATCGGCAGGCGGACTCTCAACCACTGCGCCACCAGGGAAGCCCCATATTTACTTTTTTGTATAACTTTTACTTTCCTGGAATTAATTATTACCTCTTAATTCCCGAATTTTCTGCCAGAGCTATAAAATTATTCTCAATACAGTTAAACACTTCAGGTAATGTATCAGTTCTCTTTTGTGTGTGTGTGTGTGTGTGTGTGTGTGTGTGTGTGTGTATGTGCGTGTGCACGTGCATTTTGAGTTATCCCTCCTGGGGCCTCTGCCCTCCTGCTTCAGACTGGACAGATTGCCCTCAGCTTGCTGCACAGCAGGCATCCAGCAGCTTCCTTTCAGCAGGAAATTCACTTCACTTCTCTGCTTTGTTAAAGCCCCATCCTCCTTTTTCCTGGTTTACTCACTCATTTTAATGAATCACATATCGTATTCCAACAGATCCCCAATAAGAGAACTTCGGCGGTACATTTTAAAGATTTTGCATGTATTTTTATTCTAGTCTCCCACTTGATTTATAGTTTATTTGGTTAGAGACTTCTAAATTGGAAACTGGATCAATTGTATTCCTTCAGAATCTTTAAGCATTCCTCCATTATCTTCTGGCTACCAGTGTCATTGTTAGAAAGGCTGATAATAATGGTAACCAGCATTTACTGAGGATTTGGTTATGTAATACTCAATAGTAAGAGAGCGATAGTTTAAAGATTGAGAGTGTATAGCCTTTTGATCTGGACTACCTGGGTTTGGTTCTTTTTTATACTTTCTGTTTTTCTCAGTTGAGATTTCCCATCTTTTCATTCATTACAAGGGTATTTTTCTTCACTTCACTGAGGTAAATATAAAATTATAATATCTACTTTAAAATTCTTGCCTGGTCATTTCAACATCTGGCTGTCTTGGAGTTGACATGTCTCACTTGCCTGAGTGTCTATGTCAAGTAATATTTGGACTGTACCCTGGACATTGTGATGTTATACTGCAGAGATTGGATTCTGTTAGATTGCTTTAAAGAGTGTTGGTATTTTTCCTTTAGCAGGCAGTCAACTTGGTTAGACACACCTGCAGTGGGCAGGGGCTCAGGTCTTGGATCAGTTCTTGGTCAGAAGCTGCTTTCAGTTTGCCCAATGCACGTGTGATTCAGGGTCAGGTAAAATTTTAAGCAAAGTTTAAACATGGAATTTGGGTTTTCCTTCTCTGGCTCTCCTCTTTCTGGGATTCCTCCTCAATTACTGTCAGCCTGGTTCTTCTTGCCAGAAACATGGTGGGCCTTCTGTTAGCTTCAGCTGCCTTCCCCTGACCTGCTGCTGCCACTGTTAGGTGACTGTAGCCATCCTCAGGGCAAATCAGGAAGAAAAAAAATAGGGTGGGGGAGGGGAGGGACTGACTGCTCCAACTTTCAAATCCCCAGCTTTTTTCAGTTTGCTGAGCCCTCAGGAAGTTGTTTTGTCCATAGTATATAGTTATTTGCAGGACTGGTTTGTTAGGCACTTAACTAGATGTGAAATTCTGACTGCCTGGGTTTGAAGCCCAGTTTTGTCATTTATTAGCTTTGTGCCTTGGATAAACTGTTTAACTTCTCCATGTCATAGTTTCCCTATATATAGCAAATGATGGGATATTGAATATGACATTAAGCTAAAATACAAAGAAATTAAGTGACCAAAACCTGTTAGGGTAACCACTGTGCTTTACTGCCTCCCAATCTACTGTATTCCCAATCCATTGTTGTTTTTGTTTTGTTTCTCTTATTCTTGCTGTTTGAAAAATTCATGATGATGAACCATGATATGGATTTCTTTTTGCATTCATTGTGCTGGTCACCCAGCAGTTATCTTCAATCTAGAATTGCATGTGCTTTACTTCCAAGAAACTTTATTATTTCTTTGATAACTTCTTCCCCTCCATTTTCTTTGTTTGCTCTTTTTATAACATCCAATAAGTGGAATTGGTCTTCTAATTTTTCAAAAATTTTTTGCCTATCTTTCATCTCTTCATCTTTCTTATTGTGCTTTCTAAGAGATTCCCTTACCTTTTATCTTCTAATCCCTCTGTTGAGTTTTTATTTCTGCAGTTCTATTTTAACTTTTAATCTCCATTTATAAAGAATACTTCCTTTTTATATTCTCTCCTGTTCTTGTTTCAGGGATATTTGTCCTTGCAGTGTTTTTATTTTGTATATAATATTTTATCTAAAGAAATAACTTAAAGTTTACTTCTGCTCCCTACATTATTTCCTCCAATTTATTTTTGTTTATTTGTCTTATTTTTGTTTCATGTTTTACATAAAAGTCTCTTTCACGTAAGAGACTTTGCTCAAATGTCTGGTGTTCATATTTAAGTGTCAGGTGCTAAAAATACTGTGTGTGCCACGGTGGGCTGGGATGCAGCCATTCATGGGGGAATTCTCATATATCAATATCTGTAGGGTTTTTCCCTTGGGCTTATCCATTTCCCTAGAGAAGAATCTTCCAGATTCCTGGTTGGGGTATGAAGTTAGCGGCCAGCTGTGTGAAATACTAACAGGGAAAGGGGTTGAGGGTGCTTGTGCTCAGATCTTAGACTCACTTAATCCCCCTGCTCAGTACAGCGCCTCCACCTGCTCTCAGCTGTGCTGGAAATCCTGGAATTCAGTTCCTCTTCATTCAGCCCCTGAAACCTCCCATCTTCTGCTGGGTACCTGGAGGTATAGCTGATTCTCTTATAAATTTACCACCAGAAAACTTGGTTCAAACTCATCCCACTTTAGGGGTACTTTGTGTCCCCCGGCTTGTCATCGGAACATATCACCTTGCTTTCTATTTCTTCTTCCCTCCTTTCCTCCCAGGGCTGGTGTAGGTTTGTCGGTTCTGTTAAGTCAGTTACGTCTTACCTCTCTCCTTTTCCAGCTTTCACAATTTTGTTATCTCCTGTCTGTATTCATATCCTCTCCTATTCTCTTTACCCTTGTGGGTTTATCCTTTTTTAAAATTCCTTTACTTTCATTTTACTGGACTCTTGTGTTCAATCAGTTATATTTAACTAGAAGATACTCCCAAAGAATTTTACTAAATTTCTCTCATGCATGTAAAAACAGGGATGGCAAGTGGAATATGTAAATAAATGTATATTGTGTGTGTGTGTGCATGCGTGTATGTGTGGAGAGAAAGAGGGACTGAGACATAGAAACTCAGCTGGTGAGAGGAACTAGGAGGCCAGGCTCAGCAGGAGTTGTAACTTTTTATTGTTTATTCTTTTATACTGTTTTATTTTTTTTTTAACTCAAAAAACATTTTTAAAGGTAAGTTAAGAAAAAAAAAATTCAGAGGTCCTTTGCATGTTCTTCACTCATCAGACCTTTCAAACTTGAGCTGTTCCTGTGTGCCATGAAGCCAAATGCACTGGAAAGAAAACTTGGATTGTGTGTCTTTGGGTGGTGGTGGGGTTAGGGGATAGAGGATGCTGAAGAATCTGTTCAGGGGATGGTAGCCAGCTCTTGACTCTGCACTCTGCTGTGATCTCCCGGGATCTTGGGCCTCTCTGAAAAGGGCCTCTGAGTTCCCAAGGCCTCTCCTTTAACGAGAGGTACCTGGAAGACAGGAGGTGTTACAGGTTCCTTTCTCTTCTACCCGGAAGTTGGATTAAGTGCGCATCCACCTGTGCACCTGTCAGGATTTGTGAGGCAGACACACCTGTAGGGAGTGTGACTCTACATACCTGTAGATCATTGGAAGTAAAGTTCTATATTATATGAAAATATACTGAAAAGAAAATCTCTTATTTCACAGATAAAACATGTTTATTATAAACAAGCAAAAAGAAAATCTAACTGCTTGTAACCCACCACTAACCGCTTATTTGCTGTATATGTTTCCAGAATTCCAGAAAAATCATGCAGTGTATTATCATTTTATAACTTTTTCATGTAATGTATTTGGAACATTTTTAAGTATACTTCTGTAGCATTATTTTAAATGACTGTAGTATTCTGTTATACGGATATACCATAATTTATATAACGAGTCCCTTACTGTTGAGCTTCTGAGTTGTTTCTGATATTTCACTGTTATAAATGGGAATACAGTAAACATTCTTACAATCTGACTTTTGAACACATTTCTTACTTTATAAGATTCATTCCTAGAAATGACCCTATATTGCTGAGCCAAAGATTACTCATGTTTTTATGACTAGAAAATACACTCTTAAATATATAGTCTAATCCCAAATAATTACTATGATAATAAAGTAATTTGAAAATGTAGGAAATTGTAATTAAAAAAAATAAGTTTACTTTGAATGGTTATAAAGGTATGTATTTTCACTATAGAAACTTTTTGAAAATACAGAAAAATAAAGAGGAAAAATATCAGCAATAGACCTGTACTGAAAGATAACCAGAATTAGCAGTTATTTTTCAATTTTATTTTAACCTGACGGTTATCACACTATACGTATGATTTTATAACTTTTTCCAAAAAGTAGTGATTTGAGGTACTATGTTTGTTACATTAGTAGACTATGTCTGAGTTTCCTTTCTTCTTTTTTTTTGAGGAAAAGGCATTTCTAAAAGTTAATTAGCATCTTTCCATTCATAGTTGCAATGTTGTTCATTTTTTTAATGAAGTATAGTTGATTTATAATGTTGTGTTAGTTTCTGGTGTACAACAAAGTGGTTCAGTTTTATATATATATTCTTCTTCATATTCTTTTCCATTATAGTTTATTACAAGATATTGAATATAGTTACAGCTATTGCGTATAGTTGCATTAAACTAAGCAAACTCATCCTTTGCCATCCAGGGTGGTCCTGCACTTGTGCTCATTGGTTGACACTCAGTCTGCTTTTCTCAATCTCCTTCCAGGTGTCAGAATTGGGAAGGTGGAATTGGTGGGGTGCCAGGGATGGAAGCCCACGGTGGCTATACTTTCTGTGGCCTGGCCGCACTGGTCATACTCAAGAAGGAACGCTTCTTGAACTTGAAGAGCTTATTAGTAAGTACTTGGTGATCCGTCTTCCTCTCAGGCCCCAGGCCCCTGAGATGTGACTGCTCAGGCATGCCGGCTTAAGGGACGGTTGGCTGTGGGAAGGGCTAACAGTTCCTGCCTGGAGCTGTGAACTAACAGTCCTGTAACGAAGCTTCAGACGCAGTTGTTGGAGTGCTCAGCACTGTACCAAGAAAGTGCAAGGGGTGAACATCTGTGCCCAGTTTCAGTTCCCTTCTTCCTGCCTTTCCATCTTCCTGCTCTGAACTTTCTGTACAATGTGTTAGGCCAATTCCAGAGGCTTCTTGACTCCCTCAGACATCTGGTATGGGCCAGAGTACCTTCCTCCTACTTCAAAGAGAAGTATAGCTTCAGCCTCTTAAAATTAGAGGTTATCATGTGCCTTGGAAAGATTCTCCTGGGAGAAGAAATTATGAGAAGAGTTTTGAGGCATTTTGAAGCTGAGCTTTTATTACCTGCTGCACTATGTGGACGTTTAGTAACCACCTTGACACGAGCTATAGGCACAGCCGGGTCATGCACAGAGCAGGTGGCCCAGGCATTTCCATCTCAGCTCCAAGCTCCTGCCCAATATTCAGCATGAACTCAGAGCACAGTCAGCTTCAGGGACTTGTTAGATTATAGCTAAACTATCATTGGAGGCCTAGTACATAAACACACACACACACAGAGCCACGAAGGAGCTATCTTTGGGGAAGCATTTATTCCCTCACCATGACCTCAAAGCAAACCAGGTGCAACTGATACTCATCTCCTCTCCCCAAGTTCAGATGTCAGGTTCCCATCATAGGAACCATTGTGAGACCCATCTTGAGCTTCCAAGACAGTTTCTATTATACTCTATAAGATATGACCAGCAGCATTTTGTCCTCACCTTTAGGAAGCCTCCTATAGCATACTCTTCCTGAAGGTTCTTACAGCCTTGAAGGTTTATGCCAAAATGGCCAACTTTGTGCGCAGACTTCGAGTTTATCAGACATTTTGAAAACTGATCACCAACAAGGCGTGAAACATAAAAGCTCCATTTCCAAGGCAGAGATAAGGAATAAGCACATGCCTCAGTTACAGTAACAGTGTTCTGGATTTGAACCCTGTCTGTGCCACTTCACAGCCATATGACCTTGGGAAAATGGTCTAATCTCCTTTAACTTCAATTTTTTTCCTCTGTAAGGTAGAAGTAACAGTTCTTTGAAGGTCAAAGGAGAGAACAGGTATAAACAGCCTGGTACATAGTAGGTGCGACCTTCTTATCCAAACTACTCCCTCCCCTCTGTTTGCTCTGGGAGCACTAGGACCCATACTTGAAGGATTTTATGAATTCATATAGGCAAGGGAAACAGCATAAATCCATGGACTTAGGCACTGGAAAAAAATAATTAGGTTAGAAACACTTCATCTGTGGGGTAAGTAAAAGTGAAGAATGGACTCCCTACTGTAGTGCCTGTTTTCTTGAGTAATGCTTCGCCTGCTTTCATTGAATGGCATCGATCCTAAAGCGCTGGTTCATTTAAGACTGACTGGGGATACGTTAGTGCCTGCATCTGCAGTGCAGTTTTTCTGTGTCTTTTTAAGAATTTTGGATTGTGACTCTCTATGGGTGGGTGTTACTTTGAACAGGGATATAATCTAAAGTCTACAATTATTAATTAAAGGAGGGCTGGACTCCTTCTGAAGAGGGTCCTTAGTGACTCCTTTCAGGAGCTCAGTCTAGTAAGAACGTAGGTACAGGGGAAATACCGTACTCTGTACCTTTCAGTTTGGTGAGGCTGCTCCGTGAGTCGCTGGCAGGTGGCTGGAACTGCCTTGGGGGGCTGGGAGGGAAGTGGAGATATTATCTGCTCGGCTAGTTGGTTCTACTCATTCCTCGAGGCCAAACCCTTCACTATCTCCATATTCATAGCAGAGTGTGTTTAGAAAACTTGGAGATAAGTATGCATCATGTGTGACACCAAGAGCCATCTTACAGGTTCAAAGTAAACTCTTTTCTTCTGTCAGCCAGCCAGTTTCTCCTGGGATAGCAGAGAGGCTAGACCACACAGAGCCATCCTCGTTCACCAGGGCTAACGGCTTCTGCCCCCAGTCCTGCGAGGGACAAGGGCCATGCTAAGAAATCTTGGATGAATTTCCTCAGGTGCCAAGTAAAAGTCAAGAGTAGTTTGAGATCAGCTGATGACTTGTAGCACAAAATTCCATTTATCTGCTTTTAATAAACTTCCCCGAGCAGGGAAGGTGAATAGAAATGAGCCACTGGTGGTCTGGCCTTAAACTTCCTAGTTACACCTTATTTATTAAGAGATGTTTGGGCTTCCCTGGTGGCGCAGTGGTTGAGAGTCCGCCTGCCGATGCAGGGGACACGGGTTTGTGCCCCGGTCCGGGTGGATCCCACGTGCCGCGGAGCGGCTGGACCCGTGAGCCATGGCCGCTGGGCCTGCGCGTCCGGAGCCTGTGCTCCGCAACGGGAGAGACCACGACAGTTAGAGGCCCGTGTACCGCAAAAAAAAAAAAAAAAAAAAAAAAAAAGAGATGCTTGCAGGTTTCCTTTCAGGCCAATTTGGCGCACTTGTTCTCTCAGCACCAGAACCCACTTGGAACACGGGAAAAGGTGGTTAGTTGTCTGTTAGGCTCTGAGCGGAGATTCATGCTGATCGCCTCAAGAGGGTTAGACTAGATGTTGCACTGTAGTCTGTGGCAGTGAGGGTGAGGAAGTCCAAGGCCAAAGCACCAGAACTCGGGTGCCAGGAAGCCAAGAGATGGGACCCCTCCCTCCCAGATTGGCCTCTGGGGATCTGGGCTTGCTGGATTTCGGGTCTCTTTTAACCTACAGCTGCCTCTCCCTTCTCTGTCTCACGCTCAGCAATGGGTGACAAGCCGGCAGATGCGGTTTGAAGGTGGATTTCAGGGCCGCTGCAACAAGCTGGTGGACGGCTGCTACTCCTTCTGGCAGGCGGGGCTCCTGCCTCTGCTCCACCGTGCACTGCACGCCCAAGGTGAGCCCAGGGGCTGTACGCAGGATTGGGTGACTCCCCTCAGCTGCTGACCGAGTCGGAGGCCAGGGCGCTCTGTTAGAGGGTTGAAATAGGCTGTCTGTCCTGGATTTTGAGGTGCCCAGTGTGGACCTTCCCGCCTCAGGCTAGGATTCCGTCCCATTGGTTTAGGAGCCACTGCTGTTTCACTCTGGCTGTGGCTAGGGGGAGGCAGGTGCCTGGCGCCACGGTGACCACCACCTCAACTCCACGTGAAGCTGCAGTTTCTGGAGCAGAACTCTCTGTGTGTCACGTCAGAACTGAAAACCCACACTATGCACGTGGTCACAGCAGTGACAGAAAGGCAGTTGCGTAAGCGGGCAGAGAACCAGAAACCCTGGAGCAAAGACCCACCATGCCTGGCTGTCTGCGTGGTTGCCACCATTAGAAGTGTTGTATTTTAGATTCATTGAAGAATCCTGGATGCGGGTGTGTCCCCCCTGCCCCGCACCACTGGAGCGGAGAGACCTGGGTTCATCTCTATGGAGCCTCAGGTGGGAGTGCAGATCCAAGCAGTGAGAGAGAGAGCAAACCTGTGGGAGCCTTCCCTTTACCTCTCGACACTGGCTGCCTCCGGAATCATCTTTTTCATTTATTTTATGTGAGAACAGGGTGTCTTGAGGAAACCAGTGGGAGAGGGGAGGTCTGGAGGCCCTGCTGGGCGCAGATCTGGTCTTGGAATGAGATCCCTTGGCCCAGAGGGAAGCTTTTCTTTGGACTTAGTAGTTGGGTTATTCATTGCTCAAATGTAGAAGATGAGATTCTTTTCTACTGCCCCCATCCCCCGCCCTGCCCCACACACGTTTTCTTCTTGTTTGGCTGTCTTTTTCTGAGCCCCTTTCTTTCATTTCTTAATTTCGTTTAAGTTGTGGCCACTTTGGGTACCGAATTGAAGTCAGCAGAGCCTCTGTCCTGTCTCCCCGTCGCTCTATCCTCCCCGTCGCGGTCTGTCCTGAGAATCCTTGGCCTGGAGCCCCCGGGCTTTCAGTTTCAGGGTGCTAAGATATGTCTCAGCTGAGATACGTCCCCTGACTCTGGAACCTGCATGGTCTCTGGCTGAACACTATAGTAGGGAAGTCAGAAGTCCCCCGAGAGTCCGGCGTTTCAAAACAGAAATAACTTGGGGTTTTAGTGATCTCTTTATTTGGAACTGGTGAGGTCAAGCCTCTGGGTCACACCCTCAGCCTTTCACAAACCTGTCCCTGGCAGGATTAAGATGCAGTCATTCTGCAGCTGCCAGGAAAATCTAGTGAGAGCGTAACAGGAGGGCTACCTGCCAAAGTCTTCAGGGGGGCCCTGGTTCACATTTTGTTTATCATAGTGCAAGTTCTGGAGGACTCGTCACATTCAAAGCTCTGCCTGTGGGAAAAGTTAGTTGCCTGTGAATCTTGGTGCTTCCAGCTTTTTTCACTGCCTGGAAGGAGGCCCATGTTAGGCCCAAAGCTCACGTCTCAGCAAACAGTGGACCTGGACTAGGCAGGGCTCCGGAAGACGGGAGTGTTTTGAGTGGTGGGCAAAATGCTGACGTTGAGAGTCAAAAGGAGATGCGACGTAGAACGATATTCACAATGTACTGTGATCAAAGTTAGGTTTCAAAGCAGTATGTATGTAATTCCATTTTCAGTGAAGAGTTGACTCCAAAAAATTAATGGAAGTTATCTGGGTTGTGAAATGACAGGTGATGTTTGTTTTCTTTCTTTTTTATTTCTATTTTCTAATTTTTCTACAATAATATATCTTTCTTACATAAAGGAAAACAACAAAAGTTATTTTACAAAAGAGAAATTCTATAGACGAAACTAGTAGCAAGGTGGGGAAAATATTTGGATAAATGATGAAGAGCTTAATTTCATTTGAGAAAGTCATACCAAGCAGTAAGAAACATGAACAACCCAACTGAAAAACAGGCAGAGGATTCTACTACACTGCTACTTGTACTACAGCTGCTACAACTACTGAGACTTACCACGTGCTCGCCGCAAGCCAGGGGCAGAACTGAGTATTACATATGTATTTTCTCATTTGATCCTCCAAACAGCCCTATGAAACAAATACTATCCGGGAATTCCCTGGTGGCCTAGTAGTTAGGATTCCGGGGTTTCACTGCTGTGGCCCAGGTTCAATCCCTGGTCGGGGAACTGACATACCGCAAGCTGCATGGCCAAAAAAAAAAGAAAAAGAAAAAGAAACAGGTTCTATCATTATTCCCATTTTACAGGTGAGGAAACAAAGTACAGCATGGGTAAGTGACTTGCTTTATAATACCTGATTGCCACCTATCATGGTATCAGAGCCCTGCCATCTGTAGGTGGCCATTAATCAGACGAAAAGGTGATAGTTAAAGAAATGCAAATAAAAACAGTGGGACCCTATTTGTTTTTACTGTCAGATTAGCAGAGATTAGAAAATTTGATACCCTGTGTTGGGGAAAGTGTGGGAAAACAGGCACTTTTCACTGTTAGAGGGGTGTAAGTAGGTGTGTCATGTTTTGGAGGGTAGTTTGGAGACATCAGTTTAAATTATTTAAACCCAGTGAGGACACTGGCAGGAATTTACCTGCACAGACATTGCAAAGGATGTGTGTTGAAGTGGAGTTTTAATAGCAAACAACCCAACTGCCCACCAAAAGGCTAACAGTTAAATAAATTATGATCTCTTCATACAGTAGCTGCATTACAATGGGCTCACGTGGAAAGCTCTCCAGGACACAACGGAAAGTGTCAAAGGCCAGGCCAGACCGAGAACAGTCTGTCTGTGTGCACACAGGCTGGCATCCACCCAGCTTTCCTGGAAGTATACACAACTCCCCTTTAACAACGGGTACCTTTGGGAGAGGGGTAGGAGATGGAGGGAGAGAAATGTACTTTTCCTATTGTACTGTAGGCTGCTATTTTTTTCCTTTTTTTTTTTATCATGTGTGTTACTACTTTTATTTTAGTAAGTGAACAAATACATTTTTAAAAGGTGATGGTGATGATCATACTGATAACTAAAAAGATGACATGGGACCGGCACGCTGTAGCACATGAACCCAGGCCAATCCCTATCTCTTCCGTAGTCCATGCGGTGGCTGCCTTACATATAGAAGACAGTATTTGAGTACAAGAACAAATTGCTATTAATATCTTTAAAATATCAAATGCTGACTAAATTAGTGAGTCAGTTTGTTTTTGTGGAGCAGTAGGATAGCAGCAGGCCTGTGAGTTTCTGTTTGGATTGATAGTTACTAGTTGCTATGTTCTTTGGGATGCAGCCCAGGCTTTATTTGTCCACCTGTGAAATTGAGCTACATGTGGCTGTACCTGTCAGTTACTGTTTGAAAAACTTTTGATTTCTCAGATAAAAGGAACCTTTGAAATGCAAAATGACATTATAATGGGGACCTGTATTTTAAGGGAGAGATGTAAAGGATTTAAAAGGCCGACTCCAGTGCACAGTTATCAGCCTGTAATCATATCTCCCTTCATCTCACCGTAATTATGTGTGTTGATGTGCAAATTCAAGATCTCAGGAAGTTCCTTGTCGAGTTTATGAACTTTGAGCCTTTAGACTTCAATAGTGTAGGGGGTAACTGAAACAATCTGTAATCTTTTTAATAATAAACATAGCATTTTCTTTTCAGATTCCAGTTCTAGCGATAGGTTATCATTTACCTTAAGGTAACAGTCTTTTATTTCTTATAGGATATGAAGTAAAGGTATATTTTGTACAGATGTTTAATGCAGTTACCCTAAAGTTTAGTAAATATGCTTTTAAAAATAACAGCTTTGTTGAGATGTAATTCACATACTGAACAATTTACCCATTTAAAGTGTACAGTTCAGTAGTTTTTAGTGTATTCAGAGTTGTGCAACCATCACTATAATCAATTTTAGAGTTTTCATCACCGCCCGCCCAAACCCCTGTACCCACTAAATGTGCTTCTTAAAAGAAGAGATCACAAAGGAAAAAATCAACACTGTGATTACAGCATATGTGTAAACTATATTTATGCAATTAAAAAAAACCCCATATAACCAAAAAAGTAGAGCCAAAAGGGAGAAATAGGTATACCATATGATACAGATAAAGAGTAAATATAGTAAAAAGCTAGATTAATAAAATTGACTCTTGGATCTCAGAAGACAAAAGGACAGACACTCTCAAAAGGAAATAGAACTAGTAAGCAAAAGTTACGGGAACAGTTCACCCTAATTAGTAACTAAAGGCATGCACAGCAAAACAAATGATCAGGTACTGTTTCTTTTTAACATTTTAATTGCTGAGAACTTTTTTTTCAAAGTAACCAGTGCTAGAAGTAGTACAGGAAAATCTTAAATTTTGCTGGCAGCTATATAAAGTCTTAAAGCAGTTTATCAGTATCTATTAAAAGCCTTAAAAATGTTTATTCCCTTTAACTGAATCATTCCACTCCTGTGAATCTACTTGAAGAAAATAATCCTAGACATAGAGAAGATTCACAAAGATGTTTATTGCGGCATTTTTTATGATTGCAAGGAACTGGAAACAACCTTGGAAACAAGGTAGAGTGAAGTCCCATCATATATGTATGTATCTCCTACAGAGTCGACTGTGCTCACAGGTGGAGAAAGAACCAAGAGGAAAGTAATGAAAATAGTGTGAGCGTTTCCTTCAGTAAGCCTGCGTGCCAGGCTGAGCATGAGAGGGGGGACCTGAAAGTGCTCCTCCTTCCTTGGGCTCAGTTCCCATGTGCCTCTTCTAGTGTGAGCATCTCAGGGGCAGGGCGGGACTCGGGTGTTGAAGATGAGTGGTTTTTGCACGTGGCCCCCAAACATCAGCTGACCGTGCACCTCATCCAGTGCTCAACCCAGGAGACGGCGATCGCTTTCCAACTGCACCCATCTCTCCTCCCATCTCTCATTTAAGAAATTAAAAATGATTATTTTCTATAGTATTCTGTGTATATGAATATTCCAAAGTTAACTATTTTGCCTACATATTCTCTTTATATACCACATTTGCTATAAACTTTGATGAATTTTTACCACAGAAGATTCTCTGCTCATATATATGAGAGTTTGGATCCAGAGCCTATATTGATGCCATTACCTTATGTGTCCACTTAATGAAATGCTGTATGGCTCTTTAGAATGATGGTTATGAAGATTATGTAGCAGAACAGAAAAATGTATGCCTGTAGAGTTAAATGAAAAACTAAGATACAAAATTATCATACCTGTATAGAAAAATGCATAGAAACACAAAAATTAGCTTTCGGTTGTCATTTACAGATTGTCTGCTACCTTTGTAGCCCAGGTATCAAAGTATAAAATTAACCAGAGACTTAATGCACATTCTATGTGTGTATTCCCACATAAATGTTTCCGTGCACATCTATCTATTGATTATTTGTCCCTCCTCCACCCTTGATAACCGACTGGTCCACAGGAGTCTCTGACTGCTGATTGGCAGTACTTTAATATTATCACCAGAATTGTCCATTTCTGCTTGGGCTATCATATTATATGATGCAGGAGGGTGGCTATTAGAATGCTTCTTTGGGAAATTTTTTGAGCCAAAACGCTAGCTGGAGAAGTCCCTTTAGAGATAGACTGAATCCAGGCTAAGACAAGTATCAGTAGAAGAAACAGACATTATCACCCCATTAGAGTTCTCTTGGCTAATTAGAGTCTGGGTAACAAGTTTCAGAGATGCACTGGAGGAAATGTCTTAAGAAGCCCAGGGAAAGGAATTGTGAACCAAGTCAGGAGCAGTAGCAGAGGGCAGTCTGGTAAGCTGAGCTAAACAGTTTGTCCGTGCCTGCAAGGGATGTGGTTTAGGGTGGTCATCCAGGGTAAGGGGACACTTCAAGTAAAGCCAAGTGCTGCTCTGACCTGCTGCTCTTTGACTCTTCAAGGTTCAGGAGAAGGGACGTGTCTCGGGACTTGGGTGAAGAAATCGAGTGTCCCAAGAATGTAGTTTTCAAGATTAGTCCAAGGAGACTAGAGGGAAACCCTGACAGTTCCTAATGGATCCTGAAATACAAAGAAGTCATTGATCCTTTGCTGGACTTCTCCTAGGCTCCAGCCCACACTGATCCTTTGTCTTCTCTAGGTGACCCTGCCCTCAGCATGAGCCGCTGGATGTTTCATCAGCAGGCCCTGCAGGAGTACATTCTTATGTGCTGCCAGTGCCCCACCGGGGGGCTTCTGGATAAACCTGGCAAGTGAGTGCCTTGCCTCTGGGGAGGGAGGGACGGGGCGGGGAGAGAGGGGTGAGCACCTCAGGCCTACTCAGAGCCAGACGGGGTGGGCCTTGCCTTGTTGCTGCTTAGTGCGCGTGTGGCATGGGAGGAAGCAGCCCAGCCGGGAGCACCCCCATCCAGTGCCATCCATACATCCTGGCCCCTCCAGTGCTCTCCTTTTTACCCAGCTTACTTGCACCCCCTCGCCAGTTAGGTAAACAGATTGCTGTGTTGGTAGTTTTTCTTTCCTCTTTTTTATTTTTATTTATTTTTTTATAAATTTATTTTATTTATTTATCTTTGGCTGCGTTGGGTCTTCGTTGCTGCGCGCAGGCTTTCTCTAATTGTGGAGAGGGGGCTACTCTTCGTTGTGGTGTGGTGGCTTCTCTTGTTGCGGAGCACAGGCTCTAGGTGCGTGGGCTTCAGTAGTTGTGGCTCACGGGCTCTAGAGTACAGGCTCAGTAGTTGTGGCTCACGGGCTCAGTAGCTGTGGCTCACGGGCTCTAGAGCACAGGCTCAGTAGTTGTGGCACACAGGCTCAGTAGTTGTGGCTCGTGGGCTCTAGAGCACAGGCTCAGTAGTTGTGTCGCGCAGGCTCAGTAGTTGTGGCTCGTGGGCTCTAGAGCACAGGCTCAGTGCTTGTGGCTCGCGGGCTCTAGAGCACAGGCTCAGTACTTGTGGCATGCAGGCTCAGTAGTTGTGGCTCGCAGGCTCTAGAGCACAGGCTCAGTAGTTGTGGCTCGTGGGCTCTAGAGCACAGGCTCAGTAGTTGTGGCTCACAGGCTCTAGAGCACAGGCTCAGTAGATGTGGCGCGCAGGCTTAGTTGCTCCGCGGCATATAGGATCTTCCTGGACCAGGGCTCAAACCCATGTCCCCTGCATTGGCAGGCAGATTCTTAACCACTGCGCCACCAGGGAAGCCCCTCCTCTTATTTAACCAAACTGATTTAAATAGAAGAGGATACAGGATTTTAAAACTCCTGAGTGTCATAAACAGAGATTATAACCAAGGCGACTATTACCGAGTAGATTCAATACCTTTAGGTGCCAAAAGGGAAACCAGTCAAGTCCTGTTGCCTTTGCTGCTCACTCCCCACTCCCCCAGCACACACACACCCTGCTACCTCTGCATCCTGGTCCAGCTGAAGGCCAGTCCCCAGCAATTTATCAGGAAGAATTTGGCCCATTCCTAGAAATTTTGTTGTGGGATTTTTTTTTTTAAACTATATTAATTTAGCCAGCACTACCCTGGAGAGCTCTTTCCGGAAGACAGCTGACAGGACTGACTGTAAGGTTACAGTTCCTGCTATCAAGCAGGGCGGAAGGATGGGGCTCTGAAAAATGCTGCTGGGGGAAGCCAGGCTTCGAGGTTCGTGGAGGGTGGGATGGGATGCGTGAGTGCTCCCCGGGCCTCTTTGTCTGTGCGGTGGCCTTGTCAGAGGCTGTGCTGGGGCCGGTGGGGAGCAGAGGACACCTGTTAAGAGTCGCCCCATCCTTCCAGGTCCCGGGACTTCTACCACACCTGCTACTGCCTGAGCGGCCTGTCCATAGCCCAGCACTTCGGCAGTGGAGCCATGTTGCACGATGTGGTCCTGGGTGTGCCTGAAAACGCCCTGGTAAGGTGGGATGGGGGGCTTACCACTGCTTCTCCACGGGGCCCCCAGGATGGGGCTGGCAGGAGAGCAGAGCACCCGCTCTTGGCCTGCAGAACCGGCTGCATGAGGACATGGACAGGCTGGTGAACTCCCCGTCCCCACCCTCTGTCTGCAGCTCGTTCTCTGTTCATGAGCATCTGGCTGGCAAACTCGAGGTTCCAGGTGAGGGTCCAACCTGTGACAGAGGGTTTGTGCCTTTGTCCCACAGCCTAGGACCCAGACCACTTGTCATTAGTTCCCATCTCCCAGGAAGCTGGCTCAGAGGTAGCGAGTTTCTGCATCTGTAGCCAGCAGCCCTCCCCATGTGGCTGACTGTCTTCTGGAGCTCTCAGCTTGCGGCCATCCCTCCGGAGAAGCCCTCTCAGACCACCTTCTGTAAATGAGATGACCCAAAACACTCTGCCAGGGCCTGGTTTGTGCCCTTCATAGCACCAGCACGATTTGTCATGTGTGTGTTTAACTGGGTTTTATCTGCTTCCCTCGAAAACTGTCAGCCCCGTGCGGGCGAGCTGTTCACCACTGCATCCAGTCCCAGGCCAGCCTGGCTGCAGGAGATGCTTGTGAGCCTAGTCACGATCCTGAGACTCAACTCCGGCTGAGATTGTCTGCGGCTGTCAGATGATGGTGCCTGTGCAGATTGTCATGAAATATTCCAAGAGAAGAAACACAAGTGGCCAGTAGGTGGATGAAAAGATGCTCAGCCTCACTAGTAATTGAGAAAATCCAAGTAACAACCCTTCAGCTGTTTCAAGTATTTGCCTCCTATGCAACCCTCTTCCATTCTTTTCCCTCCCTCCTTCCTCAGCATAACCCCATCCTAAATGACATTTATCATGCCTGCAAATATTTTTGTGCTATTACTACATAGGTATGTATCCACGAACTATATAGAGAGTTGTTTTGTATGTTTTCAGATGTTTTTTTGTTTGTTTGTTTTTTGCGGTACGCGGGCCTCTCACTGTTGTGGCCTCTCCCGTTGCGGAGCACAGGCTCCGGACGTGCAGGCTCAGCGGCCATGGCTCACGGGCCTATCCGCTCTGCGGCATGTGGGATCTTCCCGGACCGGGGCACGAACCCGCGTCCCCTGCATCGGCAGGCAGACTCTCAACCACTGCGCCACCAGGGAAGCCCTCAAATGTTTTATAACAGTATCTACCCCACCATTTATTCTGCATCACTTTCTCACCAACCATTACCCTTTTGAGGCTTAGTCGTCTTCATATGTGTTGCTCTAGTTTATTCATATTAACTGCTGTACGGCATCCCCTTGTCCAAGTGTCGTCTTCACTCCTGTGCGGCATCCCCTTGTCCAAGTGTCGTCTTCACTCCTGTGCGGCATCCCCTTGTCCAAGTGTCGTCTTCACTCCTGTGCGGCATCCCCTTGTCTAAGTGTCGTCTTCACTCCTGTGCGGCATCCCCTTGTCTAAGTGTCGTCTTCACTCCTGTGCGGCATCCCCTTGTCTAAGTGTCG